CACCTGCGCTACAAGTAAGATGGCAATGTGTTCCAGATTCGCTTCACCTTCTTCAAATTGAGCTGGAGGGACATTGCGAGCTCTGCACATGATCCATGCCACGTCGTCCCCTGATGCCAAAGCCGCCCATGGTGAGCAAAAGACTGGCCTACATGGCATGCGCCAAGGACCTGTTCAACGGAACGTCAGCCCACCTGTCGACGTGCAAGGCTCCGTCTCAATAGTACCCAACGCGCAGACTGCTGTCATGCCCGGCCTCGCGTGAAAAAGGTTGACGCACGCTGGATCGCGCAAGCACACGTAGGAGAACGAAAAGTGGCATGAACAAACAAACTCGGAGGTCCGCGCGGATTTTGTTGGATCCACGCTGGACCCCCTCCCTGGCGCGCGGAGCGGCGCCGGGGGGGCCGCCAGGGGGGTCCAGCGCCGATCCGACAAATACGCGCGGATCTCCGAATTTTTATGTTCATGTCATTGTTTGTTCCCCTGAAATAAGCCGCACCCCCGACCCTCCATCCTCGCCAAGATTAAGAGGAGTAGGGTTAGGACGGGCGTGCCCCCCTAACAGGCGGATGTTGGATGTGTTTTTTGTAAAAGGAAAAACTGAAAATTAGCTGTCAAAGGACCAAACCATATGCAGTTGTGAATACCGCAATTATCGTTTTCGCCCGCGCTTCCCATGTGGCCACGAACCGTGTGAGGGGCGTGCCGACATGCGTGGCGGGGCACACAACGCGAGCGAAGACGATAGGTATGTGTGCGAGATACTGAGAGCGAGTGAGTCTGATTGTGGATGAGTCTGCGCGCGCGTGAGTCTAGGTGCATAAATGTCGACGCCCATGTCGGAACGCCTCTCACGAGGATCGTGCCCGCTTCCTTCCCGTTATTCTTCTCTCTTTTGGCCAGCGCACGCCCACGTCCAAGGCTGCGGGCGAGGCGCCGCACGGAGTCCCCGCGACGCGCGCTGGTCGCCCCGAAAGGGTCCCGGCGACGCGCGCGGGTCGTCCGCTACGTAGAGCAGAGAGAGCGAGCAGGCTGGCTCCCGCCCGGGAAGCGCGGCCCGGAAACGGCTTCTATACATCGAAAACGACGAAAAACCTCCGGAAATCGAAAGTCGCATGCGAACTCCGCCACTGGGCCGCCATGCGAGTTCCGCCATGGAGCCTTCGGTGGAGCTCCCTGTGGGGACACGAAGCGCTGTACTGGGTGGTGGATGATGCATGCGGGCGGTCCCACTGGGGCCTTCGGTGGAGCCCCCCACGGGGCCACGAAGCGCTGTACTGGGTGGTGGATGACGCATGCGGGGGGTCCCAGTAGGGCGTTCGGTGGAGCTCACTACGGGGTCACAAAGCGCTGTACTGGGTGGCTGGGTGGTGGATGACGCATGCGGGCGGCCCCACTGGGGCCTTCGGTGGGGCCCCCTTATGGGGCCACGAAACGCTGTTCTGTCTGGTGGGTGACGCATGCGGGCGGTCCCACTGGAGCCTTCGGTGGAGCGGTCCCACTGGAGCCTTCGGTGGAGCTCCCTATGGGACTGCGACATGAGGAAGGATCGGGAGGAGGAGGAGGAGGAGGAGGAGAGGAGGGAGGAGGAAGGAAGGAAAGAAGGAAGGAGGGAGGGAACGCGGGGATCGTCTCTTCAAAACGAGGACCCAACACCACAGGATGGTTGGGAAATATACCAAAATGGTCAAACATAGTCCAAGAATCGTCCCCAGGCTATTCCTCATGTAGAGGGACAGGCCCGACTGAAGAGTAGGGTGAGGCCACTGTGCCCTCTCACGGGGGGCCAGCGCAAAGGGGCCTGTGGCACCGCGGTGGGCCCGCACAGGCCCGGCTGGCAGGCCGCCCCGGGGCTCGCAAGAGCACGGAGTGCAGTGGAGGCCAGTCCACAAGAGACCTTCCACAAGAAACCCAACCCTGAGACCCCAGGACGTCCATCGATGTTCGGTGTGGGAACGTCGCGCTCTCCACAGCAAAACCATCGAGACCCAAGAAACCCAGGGCACCCTGGAGGCAAGCAGGGTGGTTTTCTTGGCATAGGCCTCCACTGTACTTACATTTTCGGCGCCCGCGCGGAGCACCGATCTTCGCATGAGATGTTCGAGCCCGGGGCGGCCCCCTACTGAGTATCGTTTAACCGATCCCCATCCCCAGCGGCGTAGCCTGGGCCCCACTGGCCGATTTACCCCCCTAGATGGGGATACAGGTCGTTCTCTTCGGGTTTCGAAGGGGGTATCCCCAACTGGGGTGGCAACTTGGTGGGGGTCTCGGAGGGGATGGAGATGGGGATGGGGATCGTTTAAACGATACCGACCTACACTCCTGTCCGCATCCGCGTCTGCGGGGTATGGGCGAGTTTTGCAGGCGGGCGCGTACTTGCTCTCAGCCCCCCGATTACGCACTGGAATGCAGTTGGCAGCCGCTTGCTTGGTGCGCGACGAGCTACTCTTCCTGGCAGGTTCCAGCAACACGCCTCCGAGCGTCCCCTCCCCTTTGGCCCCTAGCCAGGCCCCCAGGCGGCCTCCCCCTTTCAAAGATCAAGATCCCCAACGACGCTACATGCCCCACAAAAGAAGGTGGCCGTTGCACTACGAACCGAGCCAGCCAACCTGTGTCCGACATTGAGTGGATCACTTAAAGCGTAAACATCTCACTCCGATCATGCACCGCAGGTAGAAGCAGAACGCGGAGACTACACGCAAGAGGGCGGACAAGAAATGCGAAAGACGGCGAGTCCATCTGAAGGCAGGCCTGGCGAGATTGCCTGTAGTGCGCTGCCTTGTAGCAGCCAGTGCGTTACTGACAAGTCACCAGGAGCCTACAGGCCGTCGCATCATACCTGTGACGCAAGCTAGCCAGGTCAACCAAAATCTACACAGATCCAACATGCGCCAGGGGAGCGAGGAGGAAAGAGGAGGACGAGAGGGAGAAGGACGTCGAGGAGGAGGCGGCCCTAGCTGCCAAGAGCCTCAACCAGCCCCAGCCTGGCAGCGGCAACGTCAAGCGTCCAGCTTTCGTTTTTTCTTTGGTCGCGCGTCGTTGTCCTGGAGCAGGGGGGGCGATTTACGTAACGAACCATGCAACACGTGGCAACTACATGTGCTACGCGCGTAGGTAGCCAACAACTAACAACAAGTATCGAACATGCAATGTGTACGCTATCACATGGATATCCGTGCCCTAGGCCCTCGAAAAAAACAAAGCAAATGAGGATTGCATAAAGGATTACATCAACCCCTCACCCAGTGGAAAAGACAATGGCGAAACAGACGTCAACGACAAGCGCAACGTTAAGATCAATACGCAACACGTCGGGGCGGAACAATGCTGATTGTACGTTTCATGCTATTCAGTATGGCGTTGGCCTGCCAACATGTAACGCACTGTGCGACTGAAATTGCGTGCCAACTTTGATACCGATTCACTTGCCACCCCGGCTTCGCCATTCAAAATCTGCCCGAACAAACAGCTCTCACCCGAACGTCACGATCACGCAACCCTTGAATTCTTCGTGATCCGCCACCACGCTTACAACGGTTGATATCTGTCCGACCCTTGCTTTATTTCGCTGCGCTCGCTCACTGTGAATGAATATATACCCCCCCCCTCTCACCCGCGACAAGACGAACTCGACACGCGCTCACATATTGCACCACATCCCTGTGTGCGATGCTTGCCTCCCGCGCGCACACAAAAGACCAGCACCTAAGTTATGGGTTGGGCGTTCCGCCCAGCACCCCATGCCACTCCACACCCCCAGCTCAACCCTACACCCCACGCACCCGCCCCCCAACCTCTCCCGAGTTCCCCCCAAGCGCGATGGCAAATTCGCACGGCAGAGCAACTGGATGATCACCCTGCACACGATATGTCAAACGTAACCAACTAGTATCCAACGAAGAGGCCCGTCGGATAGGCAAGCCTACGATGCAGGGTACTTGAGTTGCGATTCCCGTGTAAACGGGCCTATGACTTGCACAAGAGGTGTGTCACGCTTCTTGAGATCGCCTGCCCCATCCACTGCTCCCCAGAGCTCTCTTAAGGAGATGGGCGCATGCGGGATAGAACTATGTTTGAGTACTTGTCGGAGGTTGCTGCCTGACGATCACATGGTTTCATATGTAGACAAAAAAACTCGAATGCCCTGCGCCAGCAGGAGCGGCTCCTCTGACTAGCAACTCACAAACCCCGACCCGTTGGGCGGGGAACCAAGTTAGGATGCCCAAAACATCAAGGATAGAGAGACCCTTCTTGTCGCAGGCCAACCCATACGCATCTACCCCTAATACAATGGCGGGGGCCTATGCACCACCACCACCACCACCAGCACCAGCATCAGCAGCAGCAGCATCAGCATCAGCATCAGCATCAGCATCAGCATCAGCGTCAGCATCAGCATCATCATCATCATCAGCATCATCAGCATCATCATCATCATCATCAGCATCATCATCATCATCATCATCGTCATCATCATCGTCATCATCATCCTTCTCATCCTCGTCCTCATCCTCGTTCTCATCATCCTCCTTCATGTTCCTACTCATCCTGCACGTCCTGCTGCTCCTCCTCCTCCTCCTCGTCCTCCTCCTCCTCCTCCGCCTCCTCCCCATCCTCCCCATCCTCCCTCCTCCCTCCGCCCTCCTCACCCCTACCTCCTCCCTCCCCCTCCTCCCGCCTCCCGCCTCCCGCCTCCCGCCTCCCTCCTCCCGTTAGTCGTAAGTCGTCCGTTGTCGGCGTCGAGGTCGTCATCGTCGTCGTCGTCGTTGCTGTCATCGTCGTGCCAACCGCCAGCATCCGGAGCGCCCCGGATCGGCGGCACTAGCCAGAGGCCATTCAAATACAATGACGGGGGTCTACGTGAGGCTACGCCCTTATTGCGTCATTAGGGTTAGGGGCTCTATAACTCTGAATGGTTCACAAGCCCAGTCCTCACTCCAATCGTACACGAGGTCGTTCTTCAGCTTCAACTCCTTCAGCACTTTGTCCAATATGGCTTGGAGCCTGCCAGTGGCAGCACGGACAAGAGCCGATCAATCACAAACAAGTCTCCTTAGTATGGTGGAGTATTAGGATAAAGCAGCGCAGCGCTCCAGCATGCTGTGGGCGGTGATGACTTTTAAATGTGTCTCTCTGCCAATGCGTCGGCAGTGCATCACTCGCCACCTGGCCCAACGTCGGATATGAAGCACGCTCTCGGCCCACCGACGAGCACGACAAGCACAGCATGTTGCGGACAGGTGGCAGGGGCAGACCTGCAACGAACACCGTCTACACGACAACAGACCCCAAGAAACCGAAAAGAACTACACCGCCTTGACCAGTCAATGCAACAGATACGGGACAAGCGTTTCACCAGCCGTCGCCGCTTAATGAGGGCACCCCACTACTATGGAACAGAAGTTTAGCTGAGATTAGGAATGGACCATGTGTTTGCATTCGGCCAGGAGCGGATACCAACATGGGGCTCAACGCGGCCCTGGTTTTTGCAAGAGCAAGACATTTCCATATGAGGGGGGAGGAGGGCAGATGGAAAAGGGAGGGAGGGAGGGAGGACGGAGGACTGAGGATGGCGAAGGGAGGGTCACTGAAGGGACGATGGGAGACAAAGGAGGGTGGAAAGAAAAGGTGGCAGATGCACGGACAGTGGTTTGCTTGACAGCAGGAGCGCGACATTCGTGCTGGCTGTTGTCTGTGATTGCGGAGGGACTATATGATCTCGGGCAAGTGGCGCCATGCGCACTGGCGGGGGTCACATTGTCGCTGATTGGCGGCCAAGGGGGGGTGGTGGTGGTGGTGGTGGTGGTGGTGGTGGTGGTGGTGGTGGTGGTGGTGGTGGTGGTGGTGGTGGTGGTGGTGGTGGTGGTGGTGGTGGTGGTGGTGGTGGTGGTGGTGGTGGTGGTGGTGGGTGGTGGTGGTGGTGGTGGTGGTGGTGGGTGGTGGTGGTGGTGGTGGTGGTGGTGGTGGTGGTGGTGGTGGTGGTGGTGGTGGTGGTGGGTGGTGGTGGTGGTGGTGGTGGTGGTGGTGGTGGTGGTGGTGGTGGTGGTGGTGGTGGTGGTGGTGGTGGTGGTGGTGGTGGTGGTGGTGGTGGTGGTGGTGGTGGTGGTGGTGGTGGTGGTGGTGGTGGTGGTGGTGGTGGTGGTGGTGGTGGTGGTGGTGGTGGTGGTGGTGGTGGTGGTGGTGGTGGTGGTGGTGGTGGTGTGGTGGTGGTGGTGGTCCTCCCCGGTGGATACAACAGAGGGAAAACAGCGATGTAGTGTAGGGGCGAGGGGGGGGGCAGCGGGGGTGGAAGACAAGCTAGGCGCGCTTGCGCCATATGTGACGCCATACCCCTCCCATCCGTTCCTCCCTTCCTTCCCACTGCACTGATGTTTCCCAACCCCTGACTAAGTGCCCTAGATGGCATTGATCCCCACAATGACCCCATCGTATATGCTTGATCAGGCAGGGGCGCTTTGAACATAGAAGGAAGTGGAAGAGGAGAAGAAGGAGGAGGAGGTGGATGAGAGGAAGAAGAGGAGGAAATTGATGACGGATGAGGAGCAGCAGCAGAAGGAGCAGCGGGAGAAGCAGAAGGACAAGGACCAGGGGAGCGATGAGGAGGAGAAGGAGGGGCGGCGACGACAAGACAGGAATCGGACCCAGAGGTGTAACCCGAGAGCAGCACCCTGCACGACGGGACCAAAGCGCCAATCCTTGCAGCGGGAGCACATGTGCTTCGAGCCCGAGGGCGTTCCGCTGGAAGCTAAACAAGAAACGATGCAGACGCATGACGACAACATCCCGCGCGTGAGAGCAACACGGGAGATGGGCGGCAGCACCGCCGCACACGACCAGGGGAGATGGAAGAATGGCCTTCCGATCGAATGCTCGTCAAAGGGCAACGGAAAAGGGGGGAGAGCGAGGAGGATGGGGGCGAGACTGGAAGGCAGAGGGCGGGAGGAGGAGGAGGAGGAGGGCGCAGGGGGAAGGCAGAGGTCGGAGGGAGGGGAGGGAGCAGAGAGGAGGGATGAGGGGGCGGATGAGGGGGGGCGGAGGCAAAGGCGGGATGAGGGAGGGCGGAGGGGGGGGTGAGGAGGAGGAGGGGGAGAGCGGGAGGAAAGGGGGAGAGCGGGAGAGAGGGGAGTGGGGAGAGTGAGGGAGCGTTTGACAGAAGGGAACGTTTCTGACAAGCGCCCTGGACCCGAGATGTCACGGGTCACGAGAGAGGGTCGGATTGGTTTACCTGTCCTCTGCAGGTTCGTCAGACTCTCCTGAAGAAAGATCGCCTGGGTCTGGCTCGGCCTCGAGCCGAAGAGAGGCTCGCACCTGGGAAGGCTGGTCGGTAGGCTTAGCCTGCTCTGTCTCCTCCTCGGATGCAGAGCCCGGCCCGACCGCGTCTGGGTCGAAACGTTCGCTTTCGACTCCAGACATCTTAGGATGCTTGCTGGTGAGGCGGGCTCGAGAGACGGAGGAGGCATACTTGCCCAAGGCCCCCTTTGCCTAGTAGCACCTCTCGGTTTCTTGAATTGGCCTCAACAGGAACACCACAGCAGCGGCAGGAGGAATGAAGCACAGACTCGCTGCTGCACGTGAGGCCGACAACGTGGTGTCCCCGCCCGCTGAAGATCAAAGCCACCTCTGGGGGGGCAGCACATCCCAGGGGTGGAGGTTTAGCAGCTTGGCGGCGGAAGCGGAGGCAAGCCGGACAGCGCCAGAAAGACCCTTGCCAAACAAGCACGCGCTCGGCAGAATCGACGTCGCCTGCTGGGCGCGGTGGCAAAGCAATAGCAACAGCCTCCACATCGTTAAGATCGAGACGTGGCCAGGTCGGCAGCAATTTAGCCGTCAACATGCAAACAGTTCTGTAAAACTAGTGTCCTAGTCTACTCGCCTGGTCTCCTCCAGGGACGGCTTGGGGCGCATGGCGCCTCAAGCTCAGCGGCCCTATCGGCTACATCGCTGTCTTCCTTAAGACATCGAGCGTCCGGGCTAGGGTCAGGCGAGTCGGTCATGTGGGTCTTCCCATGGCGAAACGTAGGGAAGACCTCGTACCTCGCGTATTGATCATGCGGCCCGCACAGGGTGTTTTTTTGCGACAGCTGGTTAGCACGAGGCTGGGCGAGAGGTTTGACGGCATTGGCACAACCACTGACGCCTTTGGACCTGTCATTCAAACAGAGAGCCGTGTACGAAAGGGAACCAGACTCGGCAGTCTGAGGAAACTGATGCCAAAGAGGGCCCCACACCCTACACAGGACACAGGATATCCGAATTGGGACCATAAACAGCTACACCTGGACAGAAGGGAGCGAGGAGAAGACGGGGGAAGGGAGAACAAGGACGGGGGCCAATGACTCGCGCGCTACTCCTCCAGCCGGTTCCGAGCGCGCCGCGAGCCACGACGCTTAACAGAAGCCGCGCGACGAATCATGGAGTCACGCAGAGTGGGGCCAAGACATCCAGCGACTCGATCATATTCGAGGCATGGGCACTCAGACCTCCCAACCCCTTTCGTGGGATGGTGACGAGGACAGAGAGGAGGAGGAGGAGGAGGAGGAGGAGGAGGAAGAGGAGGAGGAGGAACACGACAACAGCAAGAATGGGGAAGAGGAAGACAACGACATCGAGAGGGATGACCATGGTGAGGGGGGAAGAGGACCAGGAAAGGGGTGAACGAGGACGAAGAAGGGAAATGAAGCGAAATGACATGACCACGATCCACGAGATGGAATGCCATTACCTCCGCCCATGGAACCGATTGTAATCCGGCTTGTCGTAGAAGCCGACGGACCGCATGTATCGGAAATAGTCCACGAATTGCGAAGGGAACCCGCTGGAGAAATCGGCACAGCGCTCTGCTTCTTGCAAGCCACTTGAACCTATCGATCAAAGGACGTGAGGACATAAGCGAAATCACAACATTTGTGCTTCGAAGATTACGGGCATCGATGACGACAAGGCGGACGATCAAACTCGGGATGACAGGCAAGCGCTGTATTGAGAGCTGTCGAACAACAGGAGGGGCGCATGGTGAGGATACCGCCGCGACCCGTCGGGCGGTTCTTGCATCAACCCTGTTGGTTGGAGTGCCGCAGACAGCCTGGTCAAGCCGTAGAAGGAAGGCCCTGTGGTTTAGATACCAGGCGGGCACACGCTGGAGTGCCGAACCAAGCCTGTGCTGATCATGATCGAAAATGTCGTTCCCTGAGCCGTCTGGGATTAAAGGTGGCCTCGGCATGCAAGGAAAATGAGCCTAGAGGGGATGAAAACGGCATTGCGCAAGTTCGCAGGTCCACGATACTGGGAAAATTCCAAGCGATTATCTTTCTCCTCTGCTGCTGGGTCGCGGGGATCGAGTCGGCGACGACTGCGGTAACGCGTGCAGAAAGGGCAGATCAACACGCCAGCGGCTCGAATTTCGTGCGAGCTTTCAGGCGGCGGCACTCATGCCCCAACCCCTCTTCCTCCGCATCGTCTCTTGAACTTTGCGGCCCCACACCCTGCGCACACGTACACACACTGGGAAATCGCGGCCCCGCGCGCCGCGACGAAGCTGAATGAGTCCGGCACATCGGACGGGGCCCCGCGCGTTCCAGCCTCAGAAGGAGGACGCACGCACACACACACACACACAGCTAAAATAACATCTTCTTCTCTTCATGTCGCAACACGGCAAAGGCAATCCGTTCGGGCGCTCGAGTTGTCGGGGGCGCGCGCCAAACTCACTGTCGGGCAACAAGATAAGGCGCGCGGGAGGAGAAGCGGCCGCAGACGACAGGAAGGAGCTAGAGGGCACTCACGGCTGACATCGTTCCAGGATGAGCGCGCGGGAGCGGCAAGCCGGCAAGCCGGGGCTGAAGTGACCTGGCAGTGGACGCGGGACGGCATCACGACAACGCCCAGGGACCGAAGCCAGGGCTGCAGGCGCTAGAAGCGCGAAGGACAAGGTGAACCAAATCATCGGGAGGAAGGCCCACGGGACTGCAGGAGCGGGAACATCCGGATGTCCGTCACGTTGCCGGGAACGTCAAGCTTTGCTGCGACGGGCCAGCGCCAGCTTGATGCAGGACCAGGATGGTCGAGGCGAGAGCAGAAGAAGCCCACGCGGGGCTGCGCCGAAGCGCGTGGGCTGCAGCAAAATCCCGTCTGTAGCCGGCCACCATGATGCTGACGACTGACGAGGCGGCGCTAAGAGAGGCTGGGGGCGCCAGCCGGGGGCGCGCGGCGGCAGCTGCTTCGGCGGCGCTAAGGCGGCGCAGGACGTAAGGGAGCAGGAAGGCGGCGGAGAGGCAGGGAGGGACGAGGACCTGGCCAGCGGCACACCCCTGCTCCTCCTCCTCCTCCTCCTCCTCCTCCTCCTCCTCCTCCTCCTCCTCCTCCTCCTCCTCCTCCTCCTCCTCCTCCTCCTCCTCCTCCTCCTCCTCCCTCCTCCTCCTCCTCCTCCTCCTCCTCCTCCTCCTCCTCCTCCTCCTCCTCCTCCTCCTCCCTCCTCCTCCTCCTCCTCCTCCTCCTCCTCCGCCGGCGCACGCACCACAGCCCTGCAGGCGGCGGAGCGGGCAGCAGCCCGGCCACGGGGCCAGCCAGGTGGAATCTCAGGGGCCCAGTCGCAGGTGCGGCAGGGCGGTGAAGGCCTGGAGGGGCCGGCGGGGACCCACCCAGCGCGCCGCCCTCGGAGGGGCCGCCAGGGGGGGGGGGGCGCAAGCACAGAGGGCGCGATCACGCGGAGGGAACAGGCCACCAGGGGGCGGCCTGCAACCAGGAGCACCTGATCGGCACGAGGGCAGGGAAGCGTCCGCCTTGAAGGGCGGGCGCCCTGACCAGGGCACCCGGTAGGCGCAAAGACATGCGAAGCAAAAGGGCGCCCACCGAAGAAGGCGGGCGCTCGGGGCCGCCGCCAGCGAGACGCGAGATGCGGCGAGGCCAATCGTCTGTCTGGGGGCTGCGTGGCCCGCGCAAGTGGCACCGAGCGCCCCGCGCGCTGGCGGCGGGGGCCCACGGCGCCAGCATCATGCCCTGCTGTGGGCGAAGTCCCACGCAGGCGGGAGTGGTCCCAAGAAGGCCAAGAGGCATCACTGGAGCGTTTGCCACCGTTGCCCTTCCCTCCGCCGTTGCGCACCTGCCGCTCCTGCTGCCGGCGCCATGCCTTGCCCTGGTCAACCCAGATTCTGCGGCAGCGGGAGCAAGGCCGGATGTCGCGGTGACAGTCGGCCAGGTCCGACGGCAAGCGCGCAGAACTCCTCATCGCCGTCCGGGCTGCAGCGCCACCGACCCCTGCCCTTGCCGTCCCGGTCATCGCGGGCGCGGCCCCAGGCCTCCACAAACATCGCCCCGCAGGTGCCCCCAAGCCAGTTGATGACTTCGGGCCAGGTCTCGAACGCTCCTCACTGCGATTCCACAGCTGCCCCCACTCGATGTCGCGCAAGGGCACTCGGATGGGCCTGGTTTCCACCACCACCACCACCACCATAAGTTGGAGAGGGGGAGGAGAAGGAAGAAGAGGGGGAGGAGGACGAAGAGGAGGAGGAGGAGGAGGAGGAGGAGGAGGAGGACCCCCTCCCCTCCAACTTATGGTGGTGGTGGTGGTGGTGGAATACAGGCCCATCACACTCGGTAGAGGCTGTCACGCGGTCATCCAGATCATTCCAGCCGCGCTGGCGGCGCGTCGACGCGCCCCCCCCGCGTGCAGGGCTGGACGCAGTGGGTGCGCTGCTCCATGTCGACGGATCGCCGCGGGCGCTGGCGTCGGGACCGTCGCCCTGCCCCTGGACCAGGTCGACCAATCGGCGGAATTGCGGGTGCGCTGCGCTGCCCTGACCGGTGCTGCAAGGGCGGCGCGGTCAGTAGCAGGCCCGGCGTCGCTCCTGGCGGCGCCGCTGTCAGCTTCGCCTGCTGTGGCACTGGCCAGGCGTCCGCCACGGATGGCCCTGGTCAGGTGCCCAGTGTCCGCGCCGCCCCACACCGCGACCCACTCGCGCCCATTGCTGGCGCACAAGAGGCGTCCTGCGTGGACCTCGTCGAATGGTCCTACCACCGCGCAAGGAGAGACGTGAGGCGCGAGTCGGTCCCCACTCGTCCTTCTGCGCGTGCCAGCCCGCAGCGGCGGCGCCAGCGTCGTCCCTGGCCAGGAGCAGCGAGAGGGCCGGATACCACGATTTGCCTTTCTCGAACGTCTGGGGACGGCGGCTGGTAGAACCGAAGAATATCGTCCAACTCCCTCGCTGCCGCTGCCGTCAGAGCGCCTTGGAAAGCCACGCCGCGGCTGACCGCAGCGTCGGGCCGTGCCGCTGACAGAGCTCGTGCACATCCGCCCGCAGACTCGCACGACCCTGGCTGTCGAGATGAGCTGCGTCCCCCTGGTGGCTCTCCGCGGCACTGGCCTCAGCGTCGCAAGGGACTCGCAGAACCTGCGCCTCGGTGAGGCGAGTGGTCCGCTCGGCGGGCTCCGCGCGCCTGGAGATAATCCGAGCCCATCTCCACTCGCACTGCGACGACGGACAACCCACGGAAAATGCAGGACCGGGTATGTTCTGTTGGATCTAGCATCAGCCGGAGCTCGATGTGGAACTCGTTCGACTCGCACTGGAATGCCTCCCCCCAGCGGCGGACGGCAACGGCGCCGTCAAGCGTCACCCCGCTGTCGCGCATCAGCCCCCCACGAAGAAGAAATTCTAGCACCGATGGCCTGGGGTAGACCGGCCGCAAGACATCGAGCAGCTCACGGATGTTATGAAGGCCCGAATGTGCCTCCTGTGCTCTAGCCGTGATGTTTGGGAGGGCCTCGGAACTTTCACACATAGAGGCGCTGTCACTAGATTCCCCTCTGCGGAAGGACGCAACATACGGATCGCGAAAGTTCTGTTTGGGGGGAACAGGAGATGGGAGCGGACAGAGCTAGTACACAGATTATGGTCGACAAAAGCGGGGCAGACAAATCCTGCCCCCCACTAAAAATGCGACTGAAACGCAAGGGGGCTACTTATTACAGTTGTTGCCTGGGCGAGCGGCCGAGGAGGAGGAGGAGGCGAAGGAGAAGGGCAAATGGAGGAAGGGCAAACAATGCACTGGAATCATCGCCTGGCTGCCTGTCGGCCTGGGCGCCCACATGAGTTGGCCGTGCAACCGCCGAACAAAAACACTTACACCTTCGACTCCAACAGGGTGCAGTCCACGAGCCCGACTGAGCAACGCCCACGCCAGGGTCTTGCACCGAAGTCTGGAGCTGGCGTCGGAGCTGGACCAGACGCTACAGACACAGTCAACGCCGGAGTTGGAGCTGGAGTCAAGGTCGGGGCCGAAGCTGGAGCAGGCGCCAGACAAGAAGCCGAAGCTGAGGTCGGAGCTGATGTCGGCCGCCAGAGCGGTGGGCCATTCGTGCTGACCTCCGGATTGGCTGTTTGGCTAGTCATAGACACTCCAAACGGCGCCGGCGCGACTGCAGCCGCCGTCGCCGTCATCGTCGCCGCCGCGGCTGCCGCCGACGCCGCCGCCGCTGTCGTTGTCGTCGGTCGGCCAGTCGGTCGGTCGTCGTTCGTCGTCGTCCATCGTCGTCTTCCCAGCCCGCCGCCAGGCACGGCCCCGCAGCGGCCAGCCCTGCCCCTACCCAAACCCCCCTGGTGCCGCCAGTCATCTGAGCACCGTTTATCCGACCCCCATCTCCAGCGGCGTGGCATTGGGCCCCACTGGCCGATTTATCCCCCCAGATGGGGATATCGGTCGTTCTCTGCGGGTTTCGAGCAGTGTATCCCCAACTGGGGTGATAATTTGGTGGGGGTCTCGAAGGGGATGAGGATGGGGATGGGGGTCGGTTAAACGATACTGAGGGCAGGCCTACGC